AGGTGACCGCTACTGGCTCTTCCGAGAAGCCAACCTAGAGCCCGGCTACCCACAACCGCTGACCAGCTACGGCCTGGGCATCCCCTACGACCGCATCGACACGGCCATCTGGTGGGAACCCACAGGTCACACCTTCTTCTTCCAAGAGGACAGGTGAGCACCGCCTTCCTCAAAGGCAGAAGGCCCCAGCCGAACGCCCCTACCCAGAGAACCACAGCCGGTGCTTCTGCTCACAGGTACTGGCGCTTTAATGAGGATACACAGCGTGGAGACCCTGGCTACCCTAAGCCCATCAGCGTGTGGCAGGGGATCCCTACCTCCCCCAAAGGGGCTTTCCTGAGCAACGATGCAGGTACTGGGCCAACCCCCTGCAGCCCGCCCAGCACTCACCATCCCCTCCTCCACACACAGGGTTCGCCCAGCCTTTCGATGGCAGGTGTGAGGGACACAGCCATGGCAGGCCCTGGGCCGGGGGCTTCCAGAGCATGACTGTCCTGGTCCCTCCTGCACTGTCTCCATCCCCTCTTTACAGACAGTCACACTAAACCAGGGAGCTTGAGTAAAGGGCCCCAAACCCCACAGAAAGAAAGTTGCGGGGAACCAAGAGTCCAACCCAGGTCCGCCTGTGTCCAGAGCAGGAACTCAGAACTACCCTGTTCCCTTCGGGGCAACCCACAGGGAGCCTGAAGCCTGAGGGGGGTTAGCTTGGCTCAAAGCAGTGGCGGGCAAGAGTCCTACCAAGGTGCCCGCTTACCTGCCTGGAAAGGAAGCTTGACCTTTGTCATTATAACTAAGCACCAGGGAGCCGTGGCTTTTATTTCTCCAGCAGGGTCTCTGGCAAACTTACGAAAAACCATTAGTCTTGGTTCTCAGGTTCCAGGTTCTTAGGCTCAGGGGAGACCCCACTGACTTTGCCAGTGCTTAGGCAGGTCACGTGGCATCTGTGTGTGACAGCATCGCCATGCAACTACTCTGATCTCATTGTGATCAGCAGAGTATAGACTCACTCATAGTTCAGACTTGGCCCTTCGTGGGGCTGATGGGACATGGGCAGAGCACCCAAAGCCACAGAGCCCATCCAAGGCAATGTTAGGCTCTGCTCCAGGTCTGCTGCAGGCTGGCCGTGTGCAAGGCTGGCCTTGAGCAAGACATTTACCTCTCTGGTGTGGGGTGAGCCAGTCCTGGGACAAGGTAGCAGGGCCCCCTGACCGTAGCCCTTATGCGGCAGGCTGCAAGACCCTTCTGCGTGCTGCCCCAGCCAGGAAGCACAGGCAGCACCGTCAGGTCCTTTCCCCAAACCCTGCCCCTCTCCGAGCCAGGTCTGGGTCCCATAAGTTGAGAGGGGCCAGATCTGAAAATGCTCAGGCAAGCGAGTAAGAAGGTGGGTGTTTTATTTTAAGTTTTTATTCTGAGACAGAGAGAGTGTGCAAGCAGGGCAGAGGGGGCGAGGGGCGGGGGGGACAGGATCCCAAGGAGGCTCTGTGCTGACAGCAGAGAACCCGATGCGGGGCTCGAACTCACCAACCGTGAGATCATGACCTGAGTGGAAGTCAGACGCTTAACTGACTGAGCCACCCAGGCGCCCCCGGGGTGGGTGTTTTCAAGCTGGGGCTCCTTCAGCATGTCCTGGTCTTCTTTGAGGGTCACCAGCCGGCGGCTGGGGCACAGCCTGACACCACTCATCCCCGCTTGCCCCTGCAGCCTACACGTACTTCTACAAGGGCACCAAGTACTGGAAGTTTGACAACGAGCGCCTGCGAATGGAGCCGGGCTACCCCAAATCCATCCTGCGGATCATGGCTGCCAAGAGCATCGCGAATGGACCCCGATGGCTCAGATGTGGTTCAATCATTTCTTCAACCTCCCGGAGTGAAGTAGAGCCCCAAGGAAGCGGTGACAGCCGGTGGCGATGAGGGTCAGCGAGGCCGGGCGCTGGTGCTGGCGGAGAGGGACTCGGGAGGGACAGGTGAGGACGGGGCAGCCGAGTGGTGGTGCAGGCTGGAGGAGGTCACGCTGGACAGTGAACATGGCGATGGTGCTGGCGCCACCAGCTGCTGCTGCCCTCTGCATCCTGGGCCTCACCACGCCTCCTTGCAGATGCATGAAGGCGCCTCACAAGATGCTCCTTACTGCAAGCCAGCCTGCAGGAGGTCTGACCTCACGCCTGCCCTCCCAGCCTCATGCTAAGGGGTCACATGGAGCCTGTATTTTGAGAGGATCTGCCCTGGGGCACTGCAGCATGGCCTTCCATGGTCTCTCAGCTCTCTGGGTGGGGGGCCTCCAGGCCCCTCCAACATCCCCTGCCAGCCTCTGCCCCATTGTTTATTTATGCCCAGGGTTTTTTTTCTTTTCTTTCTTCTTTTTTCTTTTCTTTCTTTTTTTTTTTTTTTTTTTTTGCACACTAATTGAGTATTTGTTTCTACTTTCCTGACATAAGTAGTCCATCAGGGCAGGGGTTGAGTTTCTTAAAATGTAGTTCTGCCTGACAGGGGTCATCCCGACCCCTGCACCCCTTCCCACCTCAGATTGCCCTCTGGCTCGGGCACAGCCAGGAGGGACCAGAGGGTCAGGAAGGCCCAGTTGGAGTAGCTGAGGCTGGTTTTGAGGGGCTCCTCTCACCCTGAGCGAAGCTCTGAGACTGGGGACTTGACTAGTCTCCACTCCACCTGAATTGACTTAGGAAGAGCTTACTCCTCGGGCAGGCCAGGCCACAGGGACAGATGGAAGGGTGAGGTAGCCTTACTGGCTATGAGTCATGTTGAGTTTGTTGCTTCCCAGCCCACCTCTCTCAACCCCAGTAACTGAGGCTTCTCGTGTCTAAGACGCCCACCCCACCCCCGACCAGCCAAGGGGCCCACAGCCCCAGCTCCCACATACCGCTTGAGCCCACACCTCCTGGCCTGCCTTACCAAGGACCAAAGGGGGTCTGCCACGGCCCCTCCACCCAGGAGCCCCCCCCCCCCCAGGCTGGGCTTCTAGCCCTGGGCCCACTCCTGAGCTATGAGCCCACGGCCTTTCCCTTGGGCCTCTTCCCACCCACCCTCATCCACACCACTGTCCTCAGGGGTCTCAGAACCCCACCGGTCTCAGGAGCCAGCTGCCAAGGTCCCAGTGGCCCCAGGGAGACAGGGGGCTGATGGGTGCCCACAGCCCACCATGCACCAGGCTTGGGGTTTCCTCCCCTCCACTCCCTGTCCCCCAGGGCACTGGGGGGGGGGACACTGTGGAGAGGGGCCAGCAGCTCATCCCCTCATGCAGACTGGGATGTGGCTGTGGAGCCCCCAGAGGAGCCCATTGTGGCCTCGGAGACTCCCCTTCTCCTTGGCTCAGCCCTAAGGGCAGAGACACTTCCTCCTTCTTTTCCTTCCCGAAGTAAGCAGGCGGCAAGGCTGCTGTGGAAATGGTACTGTACAGCCGGCTCCGTCCCCTCTGCTTCCCCTCAGCCCGGGGCAAGCGCGCCTGCCACCCAGATCCCTGAGGCCCCTGGAGGGTGGGGTTCTCATGGGCTGACCTGGATCACAGGTCCAGAGGCTTGCTCCCCACTCCATCCTCAGAACCGGAGAGCCAGCCAAGGGATGGGGGGTGGAGGTCAGTGTCCACCCTCATACGTTTCTTTCTGTAAATAATCTGCACTGATTAAATTGTACAGCCGGCAAGTGTGGCCTCCTTTGTGAGAGGCCCAGGGCTGGACTGTACAGCTGGAGGGGCTGCGGGTGACAGGAGTGAGTCTGGGCTGGGATTAGGGAACTTGCCCTCATGCTGAAGGGACCTTGTTCCCAGGTCTATGGTGGCTCCTTCCCAGTGGCCCTGGGAGGGGCAGCGCTCAGAAGAAGGGGTGGTTGCCTTGCATAGACCCGAGAAAGGTGAGGCAGGGGACCGGGATTGGCCCTGCCGGGGTGGGAAAGAGAAGGAGTACAGCATTTACTTGACATTCATTCATGGTGAGAAAGGGCACCCCAGCTTCCCACAGGCTCTGGGTGTCCAGGAGGGGTGGGAAAACCAGGCCAGGCCACCCAGTCCTTCCACCCATCCAGACTGGGTTCTGGGTCACCTGAAGACTCAGCTCGGAGGCAAGAGACGGGACGCGGTGCCATTTTGCACTTGAAAAGCTCCCCTCATCACCTGCTCTGCTCAGAGGGTGAGGGGGCACCTGAGATCTGCCCCTGTCATAGTTGAAGAAGCAGAAAATCTCACGCTGGGCAGGCTGCAGACAATGCCCAGGACAGCAGGAGACTGAGTGTCACTGCCCCTCGGGTCTGGGCGTGGCTGGCAAGCCTTGCACCCAAGTCCATCCTCTGGGCCAAGCTATCAGGTACCGGCCTGCACCCCCAGAAAGGCAATGGTCAGCTCTAGTGGGGTTCCACCCCGACCAGGGAACGGGCCCGGCCTCCACGACAGCGGGACAGGGTCTTTCAACCTGCTGCAGGCCCCACCCTCCCCTCAGCTGCCCACCTCTTCCCCAGCCCCCTTGATCCCACCCTTTCCTCCCTTTGTGTTGAAAACTGGCTGAGGAGAGTAGGAAATTCTGGCCCTCAGAAGCCCCAAAGGCCTCTCGGGCTCAGCTAGGAAATGGCCTGTGAGCTCCCCCACCACAGGGGCCTTGGCAGTCAGCATGGAGGGCCAAGGCAGAAGCCATCTCGTCAGCTTTTCTGTGGCAGAAGCCACAGGGCCCCACCCAGGTCTGCCCGAAGCCTGCAGCCTTAGGGTCACCCAGAAGCCCAGAGGTCACCAGGCGGATGGAGGGCGGTGTGGAGGCACAGGGGCAAAAAAGGAGAGGATGTGAGACCTCTCACCGAGCTCTTCCTCAGGGCGCAGGCCAGGGAAGACTTGGCAGACGAGGCCTCAGCTCCTCAGGAAATTGCCTGAGGAGACTTGCACCCCTGAGCTCTCTGGTAAAATCTCAGAGAAACCCAATGGCTGAAGGAACAGCTCATCTGGGGAGCCCCGTTTATTGTCCCGCGTGCTGAGGAGTGTGAAGGTCTCCGAGGTGACTTCAGAGAGACCAGCGGTGCAATTTGACACCCCTCCAGGTGTCAGGAACGTGCATCTTTACATTGGTTTTGTTTAATGTGGCTCTACCTAAACTCACCATGGGCCCCACGGTCCCCGTTTTGCTAATTCCCAAGTAAGATAATTACGATGTAACAGATACACAAAAAGAAGCAAAATATAAGCCACCCAATTCCCCAGGCCAGTGTTGACAGTGTGGCATGTTCCTTCCAGGCTTCTTGCCTCTGCATTTGCACAGTTTGGAGTTTGAGAGTCTCCAAACATCCTGGGCTTCAGCCTGAGGCTGAGGGTGCTTACACCTCAGTGGAGGGGGTGACATGACCTGCCGGGGGTCGCTGGGAGAGTGAAAGGAGGATGGATGGCTGCACAGGGCTGGTGATGGTGCCCAGCACTCAGCAACTGCTCAGTGTGCAATCGCGACCCCAGTGGCCGTGCATACTCCTCCACTTACAGTTTACTCATGAGAAAAGCAGGGCTCAGAGAAGTTGAGTGACTTGCCTAAAGTCACACAGCTAGGAAATAGCCATGCTGGGAGAAGAACCCAGACAGATTGTCTTGCACAGCAGCTCAGGCCCAGCTCACCCTGGTGCTGCTGGAGAACAGAGATAAGGATGAGGAGGCCTCTGCCCACCCTGGCCTTCCCTCCCCATACATTCTAGGCATCGAAGACCCCAGGGCCACCAACAGAGCCCCCTTTCAGGCTGGGGCAGGGGCCAACTGGCCTCTTCCTCCCCCTCCAACTTGGCAGAAAAGCCTTTTTGTTGTGGCTCACACAGAGGCCATTCTCTGGCTCACGGAAGGAATGGCCGGCTTCCTGTCCATCCACAGCCTCCCAGACTGCAGCGGACTCCTCCACGTAGGCCCAAGGGGAGCAAGGCTTTCTGTGCCTCCGCATCCTCCAGTCCTGGCTCTGGGACCCAAGGCTTTCCCCCCTTGCCCCCTTGTGTGGTTTCACGGGTTGAAACTACCCGCGGTTTGGGGAGAGCCATCCCGCAGCCGTCCCCCCAAATGCTGGCAATTCCAGGCCTCAAGGCCCTTTCAGGGTGCAGTAGTACCACCCTCATCCCACTGCTCAAGTAGCTTTGTGACCCAAAAGCACTGGGGGAGACCCTGCCAGGCTGCTTGTCCTGTCCCAAATGTCCCCTGCACCTGCTTGCCTCTATGCCTTTGTTTATGCTGTTCCCTCCCACTGGAAAACTCTTCCTTGCACATTTCAGCCTGTCTAAATTGTATAGCTCCTTCAAGGCCCAGATTAAGGGTTGCCTTTTCCAGATTCCCACCCTCCTTCCTAAAGTTAGTTGAGTTTCCTGCCTTCCTCCGCTGGCTCACCCAGCAGTCGTGTCCTGACCATCGCTTGCCTCCAAGCCTAGCCTGCCCATCCTTACAGGCACCCAGTTGTTGATCGTGGCTCCATTGCTCACCAGCTGAGTGTCCTTGAGCAAGGCGCTTCATGTCTCTGAGCTCAGATTCCCCACTTGTAGGACGGGGCTAATAGCCATGCCTGTTTCATACACTTGTGAGGCTTGACTGAGGGAAGCCCTGTACACACTTAGAACAGCCCCCAGCCCATGTCAGACTCTCAGTAGTTTGCTATTAATATCTCTATTTTAGACGCAGGTACCTGATGGCACTGAGGAGGCTTCCCTCCTCGCCTTTCTCTCCAGGAGTGTTTGTGGGATAGGGTCAAAGGTCTCCAAGCCTGGGGACAGGTGCTGGGAGGAGTGACATTCCTGTCCCACCAGCTCCCCTCCCAGCTGCCCAGCCCCTCCTTGCTCTCTGCACCAGCCCTTCTTCCCAGACCCTGACTCAGGTTTCTCCCCAAGGGCTCCTGACATTTCCCAACCCCACATTGTTCACCCACCTCAGTCTTTGCCAGAAATAGCCTCCAAACTCCCCTTCATTTACAACCAAGCTAAAAGGCCCCTCCTGGAAAAAAAATGGTATCATTCCCTGCCAGCATGGATCACAGCAATAAACTAGATTTCCATTAAGAAATCATTCCGAGTCACTGGAAAGGGAAAGGCAGCTATTCCCCGATAATTTCATCCAAGGATACACAGCACCATGCTAAAACCTGTCAGCTTCAGTCAGATCAACCTCTCTGTACCCATGGGGATACTGAGATCTGGAAGGGGGGCTGATGTAGCCACAGCCCCTTGCTGACTCTGAACTGCCCTGCCTTCTGGTCTTCAGGCAGGACAGGACTCCCCTCCACCACCGTCACCCCACACACACACCCTTTACTCCTCTCCCTGCCCCCATCCATCCCACCCCCATGTCGGCCTCCCTTGTCCGCTCTTTGGGAGAGCTGAGGGCAGGGTGCTTTGATTAATCCTGCCTTCCTGATAAAAGGCAATTCTGCACTTCATGGAGCACAGCTCCTGGAGAGGAGTTGTGCCCTCTGCAAACAGCCCCCCCCCCCCATTGTCCTGTGAGCACAACCCCTCCCTCCCTCTCAGGCCTCAGATTCTGGTAGAGCTGACCCCATCCCCTTGGTGGCCAGATGATCTCGTGACCCAGGACCAGCCAATCAGCACCCTAGCTCATGGTTCAGGGGTGGGCAGAAAAGCCATGCCGGGCCAATCAGGGCCTCCCTGTGACTTTTTCTAGAAGC